GAGGGTGACAGCACAAGGTCTTCATACCACCTCATTTTCGTAATCATGTAAACAAACACTTTTTTTCTCCTCACAGGAGAGCACATCTGGATAGTGCTGGATGGGCCAGTTGATGCCATATGGATTGAAAACCTAAATTCAGTTTTGGATGACAACAGAACTCTTACACTCGCAAATGGAGACCGAATACCAATGGCTCCCAACTGCAAGGTGGTATTTGAGCCGCATAACATCGACAATGCCTCTCCAGCCACCGTCTCACGCAATGGCATGGTGTTCATGAGCTCCTCTGTGCTCACCTGGATCCCCATACTAGAGGTGAATGAGCTTTATGAAAAACCGGTTGTAATTATTTTTGTTTCATTTTGCAAAAGTTTGAAATCAAGGTATATTAAGGCAATATTTACTTATGAATCATATAATTTAAAACCTGTGCAGTGCATGTAGTTTTGACTAAATAGAGTCATGCTGTTGCTGCTTCTAGGGCTGGTTGAAGAAACGGTCCCCACATGAGGCAGAGATACTGAGAGAGCTCTTCTCTTCGTCTTTCTCCGAGCTCTACCGCTTCTGCGTGCAGTCACTAGAGTTCAAAATGGACATGCTAGAGGCCTTTGTAATCATGCAAAGCATAAACATGCTACAGGGACTCATACCACCTAAGGTAAGGTATTCCCATCCACTGGACGTGTACACGAACAGCAACTAAGCACATTTTTAAGCACATTTATACCCATTGTACAGACTGGTACTCATAGTTTTGTCCATATATTTTGTATGTTCAGTTTCATAGACTTGGCCTAACTTGTGAAGTGCTCCTCTCTTTTTTGGGTTCTTTAATTGAGCCCTGAATTTCCTCATCTTAAAATGGATATCAATTTACAGGAGCAGTGTGGCGATTTATCCAGAGAGTTCTTGGAGCGGCTTTATGTCTTTGCACTAATGTGGAGCGCTGGGGCCGTACTTGAACTGGATGATCGGAGGAAGATGGAAATGTGGCTCAGAGGAAACAAGAGTATTCATCTAAACTTGCCAGACATTCCTCCTGACAGTGAGGACACCATGTTTGACTACTATGTCACAGCAGATGGTAAGCATGGCTTCATTAACTTTCAGTCAGATGGCGTTGTTTAGTTACTGGGTAGGCAGACACATTATGTCTCATGTTGTACTTATGGAAAGTACATATGTGTATATAAAATTATTTGTAGTGATGAACTGAATTAATATCTTTGGATTAATTATTTTGAAGAACTATTGTCATATTTTGTGTTGATCTCTACAACAAGCTTTATCTTATTAAAATTAAATTAAATATTTTTCCAGGTCATTGGGTCCATTGGAACACCACAGTGGAGGAATACATTTATCCATCTGCATTCACACCAGAGTACAGCTCAATTTTGGTCCCCAATGTGGACAACGTTAGAACAGACTTCCTAACCCAGACTATTGCAAAGCAAGGCAAGGTATGGTTACCAGTTAGAGTCATTTCCATCATCAGCAAACACTAGTGACCCGCTTCCAGTAACAGCCTACACGCGCATGCTTTAACGCATAGTGTTAAACTGCCTTCTCCATGTTTGATAGACAATTTGATGATGTTCCACATACTTTTCTTTTCCCATCATTCTGGCACAAGCATTCTGGCACAAGCATTCTGGCACAAGCAATCTTAGTTTTAGTTTTTGGATAATTGTGCAAGCCTCCTTTTAGCTGTTTTCTGTTTTTAAAGTCTAATCTGACCTTCCTGTTCTTGAGTGTTTCGTGTCTTTTCTAAATCCTCTATATTTACATTTATGAAGGTCTCATTTGTTTTTAGACTTTGACAATGAGTCGTGTACTTTCTCCAGAGAGACAACTTGAAATAAACTTTGGATAACCATTTAAATGTAACAACAAAATCAGCATCATGTGTTTATGCTCAGCAGACGCAGAGGATATGCTCTTACTTCCCCTTTGATCTTTCCTCATAGAATATGCTGTAGACTTGCCTCTCTTGCATTGGAGGACACGGTTAACTGTTCGCGGTCTTGTTCTACTGTCGCCCTTCTCATGTTATCCTATAACGTGGAAGTTAGTTGGGATAATTTGGACTGATGGCAAATCTAAATATGTTTGTTATAGGCTGTTTTGCTAATTGGGGAGCAAGGAACAGCCAAGACTGTTATCATCAAGAGCTACATGTCAAAGTATGACCCTGAGACCCACATAGGCAAGAGTCTCAACTTCTCTTCTGCTACTACACCACTAATGTTCCAGGTAAAGCGGCAGGTGACCTGCCTTCTTTTCTCTTAATTTAGAAGAAACAGAAGTGTGTCACTCTGTGAATTTTTAACTTAAAAGGAGCGTTCAGTTAAAGAGGAGAGAACACCACAGGCAGGTAACAAGAATAAAGACCAAACTTTAAAAATGAAAGCTGATGCAACAGAACGTAACACCAAGAGATCAAACACAGGAATTAGCTGAAGGCTTGTACAAATAGTAGTAAAACCAAAAACAAAAGAATATGAAGGATGGATGCAAAGTACAGTGAAACCAAAATAGACACAAACTAGGAAAGAGGGTGGAATACAGCTGAGTAACAAGGCATATTATAGGCTCCTTACTGCGCACACTCAGGGACCGATCGAGTGATGAGATACAGCTGAAGTAGTAAGAGTAGACAGCAGTCACACAGCCAAAGACGGGAAGACAGTAATCGTTTCAATGCAAGGCAGGGGGCAGTTGTATAAGGCATTGCCAACCTGGCACAGAGCAGGTCTATAATGAAAACCAACACCATGACTGTGTTCATTTGCCATTAAAGAATATGAACATGTATGATATTGATGATCTGTGATGAATTACATATCAGTTGAAATGAAAAGATCTCTTTCTTTATCTCGCTGTACTTTTTCTTGCCTCATCCCTCCCTTTTTTCCTTTTTTTTTTAGAGGTCAGTTGAGAGCTACGTTGATAAGAGGATGGGGACCACTTATGGACCGCCTGCTGGAAAGAAAATGTCAATTTTCATAGATGACATCAACATGCCTGTCATCAATGAGTGGGGAGACCAGGTCATTATAACATTTTTTCCTTCATAATACTGGTTAATGATAAATAAATGAAAACAAAACTTTTCTTGATTTAAGCTTCTTGCTTTCAATCACAGGTGACTAATGAGATTGTCAGGCAGCTGATGGAACAGAATGGTTTCTTCAATCTGGAAAAACCTGGAGAGTTCACAAATATTGTGGATGTTCAGTTCCTGGCAGCAATGATTCATCCTGGAGGGGGCCGTAATGACATACCACAGAGACTGAAAAGGCAGTTCTCAATCTTTAACTGCACGCTGCCCTCCAATGCTTCGATAGACAAGATATTTGGTGGGTAAAACACTGCAAGAAGTCATTTTTCTGCAGTCATTTATATTTTTGGGATTACTTCGCATTACATGTTCATGCATGACAAGGCCTAAGGCATAATGTATAATGTATGTCCTGAGAGACATACATTATTTTATTTGTTCTTATTTTACCATTTCCACACAGTTGTGTAGGTGTTGTGTGCTTGTAATATAGTTGCCAATCACATATATATCACAGCAAGTTAGAGGGATGAACTAAGTACTAATAAATGCCACCATACAGTGATTTCACGAAACACACTGTATCCTTTACTTTGGAAAAAAATATATAACTTTTCTAAACATCGACTTTATGACACAGGCGTGATCGGTGAGGGCCACTTTTGCACAAGACGTGGTTTTAGCGAGGAGGTCCAGAGCACTGTACCTCGTTTGGTTTCCCTCACGCGTCGTCTCTGGCAGCTGACTAAGGTCAAGATGCTTCCAACTCCTGCAAAGTTCCACTACATCTTTAACTTGAGGGATCTCTCCAGGATCTGGCAAGGCATGCTCAGCACCAATGCTGAAGTTGTCACCTCTGTCCAGGTGAGATGGCTTTTGCATGCTTAATTACCTCATTTCTAACATGACAAGTAGTTAAGAAAAACTTGAGGACATGTTGAGATTTCCACTGGAGAAACCAATTTTTTTTGGTCACACATGCAGGATTTTTCCAAGGACAAATATGCATGACTGAGTAAGTGACAAACAGGGGAAGTGGCAGCAGTATGAAACTGAGTGGCAAGAGCTGTCACAGGAGGCTTGCTGAGGTTGAAAATAACTAGGTTAAAAATATCAGCTGACAGTCTGACTTCACATTCAATAATCCTAAGTCAAATAATACACTAGTAATAAAGTTTTGCGGTAACTAAGCTACCCCAGTGCTTTTACCTATTACCAGTCATTACTTTTTTATTGCTTATTATTATTACTTTATTCCATGTAGCTAATTACCTTCTGTCTAACAGAAAAATAACGTAACATATATTTTCCAGACGTTGATGGCACT